TTGTCTTCATGAGTTCAATGCTAGCCTCAGACACTTACTAGCTATGTGACCCTGAGCAAGTCACTTAACCCTATTTGCCTCACTTTCCTCATCTGCAAGATGAGCTGGAGAAGGAAATGGTAAACCACTCCAGTACCTCTATCAAGAAAACCCTAAAGGGGGTCACAAAGAGTCAGACATGACTGAAACAACTGACAAACAACAACAACATTTGGTTTTGACTATGTAATCCTAATTACTCTAGTTTTCACTAGCGTAGCATGTTGAATTCCTTTTTCTCATTATGTTCTTGTTTGAAGAGTCCAATCCTTCGGAAAATGACAGATGTTGAAGAGGTTATGGGAAAACCAGCACACTAGGGACACAGCTAGTGGAGCTGTGAATGGGTCTAGCCATTCTGGAAAACAATTACTAAATCATACATAGTCTTTGGCCCAACTGTACCCTGCTAGGTTTATGCCCCAAAGAGATCAAAGAAGGAGGGAAAAGATCTGGTATGTACAAAAATGTATTCAGAGCAGCTCATTTCATAGCAAAAAATAAATAAGTAAATGAAATGGAAACTAAGAGATTATCTCCCTATTGGGAATTGGATAAACAAATTACGGTATATTAATGTAGTGTAATATTATTTAATACCACAAGAAATGATGAAATGGACAATTTCAGAGGAAACTGGGAAGATTTGTTTGAACTGATGCATAATAAATTTAAGGAGGTACAGTGGATAGAGTGTCAGGCCTGGCATCAGAAAGACTCATCTCCCTGAACTCAACTCTGGCCTCAAGACACCGGCTTTGTGACCCTAAGCAAGTCACTTAATCTTGTTTGCCTCAGTTTCCTCATCTGTAAAACGAGCTGGAGAAAGAAATGACAAACTACTCGAGTATCTTTGACAAAAAAATATTAAATGGGGTCATGAAGAGTCAGACACGACTAAAACGACTGAACAATAGTATATTGAATAGAACCAATAGAACAACTTACATAGGGACAACATTGTGAGAAAAACAACCTTGAACCAATGCAATGATAAAATGTAAGTCCAGAAGACTGGAGATGAAACATTCCACCCATCTCCTATCAGCAAGATGATGTACTCAAAATACAGAATGAGATGTATTTTGAGACACGGCCAATGTGGACATTTGTTTTGTTGGACTACATCCATTTGTTATGAAGGTTTTCTTTCTTGCTTTCTTAATTCCTTGATGGGGGGGAATAATAAATGCTTATAACAATGAATATTTAATATATAATATTTTATTTTTCCCCAGTTACATGTTAAAATAATTAACTTTTTTTTTATTTTGAGTTCTAAATTTTATCACTTCTCCTTCCCTGAGACAGGAAACTAAATGATTAATTTTTTAACAAAAAAAAAATCATGTCTTCTGGTGTAAAGCTGGCCCTAGATCTTAATCCTTCTGTAACCTCCAACAGAAAAGATAAGTCCTCTGGATTTGAATTTGAATGTGCAAAGAATAGAAAGACAGCTTGATATATTAGATAAGGAGGCAGCCTTGGAGATAAGTTAACCTGGTCTGCCTCTGTCATATACTGGCTGTATGACACTGGGCAAGTCACTTAATCTCTCAGTACTTTAGCGACTCGCTAAGATCTTAAGTTGCGAAATGGGTTCAGGCAATTTCCTCCATCAAAAGGGTCCCCTGTGCCAGAGACATCACAGGTCTACTCCATATCTCTCACAGTAAGACATCAGTGTATCAGTGACAGAACAAGATGTATCAAGCCTTGTCTCCATCTGACTGTGATAAGTAAAAAAACTAAAAACATACCATTTGAGGTTAATGTTTTCTTAAGGCAGGAAGAGAAAACTAGCATTAAAAAAAAACCTCTAAGTGAATTTTCCTCGAGGATGGAACTTTGGAAGATATTATATAATGGAACATTATCTTGATCTCAAATGGTGGTGCAATTAAGCAAAATTCTCTGGAATAGTTTTTGTCAGTCAGAAAAAAATAACCCACTTACTTAATATTTCAGTTCCCTAGTTATGATGAAAATTCATAAGCAACCACAAATGTTGCTATCAGCCCAGACATCTTATACACAAGTTTTGTGTCAAAATGAAATGAAGTAAAATAAAATTTGGATTTCTCAAGTTAAAGCAGGAGTTTCAAAACTAATTATGAATGAATATAATAATGTAAGTGAAATAAACCCCCAAAGAAAGCAAACTTTGAGTAATTGCTAGAAACAAAACAAACAAAAACAAAAAACCCTATGTTGTTACAAGAGAACAAATTATACAACATAACTCTTTTGAGGGGAGGGGAGCTACAGGGTCAGAATGGTCCATACATTTTCATATGTGATCATTATAGTGGTTTATTTTTCATAACTAAAGCTGAGAAGTCTGATGTCACATTACAAAAGTCAGCTGTTCTATCCTGAACTCTAAGGAGGTCCAGAAGAAATAATCAAACAGGTTGGAGGAGTTTAAAGGGTGGAATATCAAGTTCTCTCTTTGAACCATAGTTTCATAGATTGAAAACAAAAAGAGATCTTAGAAACCATCTAGCCCAATCTCTCCATTTTACAGATGAGGAAACAGAGACCGTTGTTGTTGTTGTCATTTGTCCTTCCCAGAGCAGTTGGATATGTTTCCTCTAGTCACGAGGTGGCAAATGGCAAAACTGGGATTTGAAACTAGGTCTTCTAAGTCCAGATCCAACTTTCTTTTTTTTCCTTTTGGACTCTGCTGCTATACCCTGAATCAGTGGGAATAGGATGTTTTGAACACAAGGCTCCATTCAGACTCTGAAACATCAATGACTTCATTCCTGGAACCATCTATCTCCCCCACAAGCAGGCAGCATCATAAACTAAGAGCATTACTATCTTTTGTGGGAAGGCAATGGACTAAAAGTTAGCAGAAGTTCTGGCTCCACCACTGATCTATTACATGACCTTGGACATATCCTTCCTTTGCTCTAGATCTCAGTTTTCCCATTTCCAAAATGGGGATGATCAGATAAAGTAAATAATAGTAATAAATACTCTGCCCCACATTAAAGATGAACTGCTAATAAAATGAATTAAGTACTAGGAAAGTAGATAGGGACTGTTAATTCTTTGTTACAGAGAACTCTTGGATGAGAAAGATATGGAGCTAGAAGGGATTGTAGGGAACATTTATCCAACCTCCTCATTGTAAAAGTGAGGAAACTGAAGTCAATGGAGGTTAAATGACTTGCTCACTCACTCAGGTGGCAAACATCAAAGATAGGATTTGAACTCAAGTCTTCTAAGACTCCAGAGCCAATGACTTTTCTTCTGCACCATGCTGTAGTTAGCAGAAAGCAAACTCCACACTCTGAAAGGAAAATATCCCAAGGTATTTTCTAAAGAGGTATAAGAGAGGAGTGGGGCAGCTAGCTGGCACAGTTGATAGAGCGCCAAGCCTGGAGTCAAGAAGACCTGGGCTCAAATCTAGCCTCAGACACATAGCTGTATGACCCTACGCAAGTCACTTAACCCTATTTGCCTCAGTTTTCTCAGTAAAATGAGCTGGAGAAGGAAATGGCAAACCAATACAGTATCTTTGCTGAGAAAACTTCAAATGGGGTCACACAGAATCAGGCATGACTAAAAGGACCAAACAACAACAACAGAAAAGAATACATTCTACATGATATCAAGAAACTGGAAAATGTGTAATTATTTCATAAATTTCCCTCCTTCATACAAATGTACTTAACTGGGCTAGGCATCTGCTTTTATGTCGTTTTTCTAATCAGATCTCAAGTTGGTTGGTGTTGGAGAGGAAAGTCTAGATTTTCAAAGAAGAGACATGAATCTACCTCCATGTATACCAGCAATTCGAGTTACAACTTAATTCATCATTCCCCTGCCTTCTGATGTTGGTAGAGAATTGAATTAATTGGAGCATGTGTAGACAGATTAGCTCAGATTACAGGTGGAGCTGTAAATCATGGGGATGTAGGCTGGAACTCAATTACAAAGTTGCATTCCTTCAATTCCCCATGTAGAAGCCCAATACAATATCTTATTAGTGTTCCAAAACACTCTACATAGCAATCCAATTTGCAACCACCAAACCATGAGTAAAGTGATGTCTTTAAAGCCCTTTACAAATTCATGTGGATAGAAGGTTGGCACAGAATTAGAAAGTAAGGAGCTGGATCATAATTGAAGCATTGGGAGAATTCAGAGTGTTAAGGAACCATAAAGAATGATACCTGCTTTCATCTGCATGGCGTCGCAATCCACTGCCAGCATTTTGAACTGGAGTATAAAATATTAGCTGTCTGACTTGAAATCTGTTATATGTTTTTCACTTATGCTGGAACTTTTCCCATCTGGCGTCTCCTATTTGTCCTTTGAACAGAGTTCATAATATGATATAGCCTGGCAACAATTTTCTGGAGTCTCCACAGAAACCAGGTTGGGAGGACAGCAAGATAAGGATTCTAATCATTCCCAGAAGGTGTTCCTGTGTGCACAGCCCCTCCCTCCTACATTCAGTGGGTCTTAGAACTAAGTTTTGTCTTCATTCCTCAGTGGTCATCTTTTTATTTACATCATTGTGTCTCTTTACTATTCTCTTCTCTTTTTTTATTCCATTGTGAAGCAACCTTACTACAGAAAAATAAATACTAATTTTCAAAACCAACTGAATATCTTTGAGGGTAAAAAGGGAAAAAGAGCCTATGGGTTCCTCAATTAAATCTCTCAAGATTCTCAACTTGGCTTCTTCTCTGCTGTCAAAACAAAACAAAACAAAACAAACGAATGAACAAACAAACTTCATTAAACTCTACCCCTGACTTCAAACAAGAAGCAACCATTTAGTATAATTTCCACATTACTGAAATAAATTTGCAAGGACATACAGCTCCAGACAAGTCTGTCATAAATTTCAAGCATAAAATAGATAAGGGAGTGTTACACATAGAAAAAAACAATTGGAAATCACATCCCATGAACACTTATATCCAAAAGGTTTGACTTACTTGTCTCAGGTTCTCTAGAAGTCATCAGGTTTCCCAGTAGAATGACTGTCACACAAACCCAAAGGACTCTCCCCATCCTCAGAGACACAGAGAAGTGTATGAGCAATAGTGTCAAAGACAACCCAAGTAGCAACTGGCTTATTACTAATGCTTACATCAAGAGTTCACCACCTTTTAAAGAGACTAAAGAGATACAAGGGAAATGACTACAGGAAATTAAAAAGCTATTTAGTTTTATTTATAAAGTATTAGGTGCTTGGGAGTGGAGAGAAAGATTTTCATCTATCCTGATAAGGTTTTTCACTTCATTATATAAGAAGTCAAGTTTTCTAACCACACTGTCAGTGAGAGTAGGAAATGCACACAGGATCCCACGTACAGTTCCCCTATAGTTTTGTGCTTATATAAGAACTACGAACAACCTAAATGCCCAACAGTTGGTTAAGAACTAAGTAAGCTGTGGTACAATTAATGTAATAAAAGAATGTAATGCTATTCAAATCATAAATATGGGAAACAAAGAAATTTGTAAAGCCTAATAAAGTACTTTAAAGTGAAGAAAGTAGAACTAGGATAGAATATATATTAACTTCAAATATATAAGAGGAAAAAATGAATATGCCCATAAAGGTGAATTAAAAAAATGAGAATGTGAAATATAGCTATAAAAGTGAATATGCTTGTATTCATATTATAAATAAAACAAGTTAATTTTTAATTATAAATACAAAAGGTATGTTGAACTCACTTTGTCATTTAAAATTATGTGTGATCAATTTTTAATATGTATTTTTTTAAATTTTAATTCATTAAACACTTAAAATTTTTTAAATTAGTTAATTTAAATAATTAAACATTTAAAAAAATTTTAAAGATTTAAAGCTGAATAGAACCTCAGCAGTCATGAAATTTAACGTTCTCATATTATGTATGAGGTCCAGAAAGTTGAATTGACTTGCTTACAGTCAATCATGTAGTAAGACACAGACAGAGGCAATATCTGAACCCATGTCCTCTGACTCTAAATCTACCATTGTGCCATTCTGAAATTATAATACTAATTTGGCTATATTAGTTCAGAGATGATAAATGATTTGTTAGCAAGAAAATCTAAATAATCTAGAAAGATACCTCTGAACCTTTTTATCCCATAAGATGAGGATAAACTCTTGAAATGGGCTATGGTTAGAAAAAGACCTCTATTAATCTTCCAGAATTAGAGACCACTAACATTTGGCTGCTATAATGTTCTAGCTAGTCATGTCAGATTCCAGGGACTACAGAAGTTGTTTGGTCCTCCAAGTATATTGTGCTGAAATTACTATGTGTAAATTAGATGTCCTTTGATGCTTTAGAGTCTGAACTGACTGATCACTAAAAATATCGCATGAAACTTCCTGGATAATTTTGAGATGGATTTGATGAGAACTTGATATTTAAAAATCAAAGAATCTGTACCCAGATTCCTAAAAAAGGCCCAAAATAAGAATATGGTCCCCAGGGAATCTACTGAAATGGTCCATGTTACTCAGTTTCTAGATCAAGATGAGAAGTTTGGCAGCTTTATTTTTTTTAAGTGCTCCATTATGGACTATTCAAATAAGTCTCTTTGTTTTATTGAGAGCCAAAAAACACTGATGGTTAGCTACATAAACAAATTGCCCCTTCTGTCTTCTCTGTGGCTAGAGATGAGCCAAAACAATGGAAGTGAAGGATTCCAGACACCACTATGATCTCTTCGGTTTCATGGTCCGGGGACTTGGGTTTTTCCTCCACAGAAATGTGAGCTTGCTGAACTTGAAATCAAAAAAAACTGTGTGGAATCCTGCCTCAGAGAATTACTATCTGTGTGACGCTAGGCAAGTCACTTAAGCTCCTTTCCTTATTCCTGAGAAAGTTGAGACCTCAACTTATTTATATGTAAAATGGGCATAAAGATAACTATTTCACAGGGTTGCTGTGAGAATCAAATAAGCTAATATATGTGAAGCACTTTGTAAACATTTAAATGCTATGTAAATATTAACTATTAATATTTTCTTGACACTTGCAATCCTTCCAGTAAACCTCAGTAAAGCTATATAATCCCTATCTACTTTTTTCTTTTTATAGGAACGGATTTCAGTATTGGAATTAAATTTTCTATACACCTAAGTCATTTTTGTAGATTACCATATTTGGTTGTTGTTTTTTTTTTTTTCATTCTTAGCTCACGTCCCCAGAGTCAATGAGTATTTTAGTTCTGCGTATTTGATAAATATATACTCTGCTTTCAAGGACAGATCTGAGTGTAGAATTGATTAGGGTTCAATCAATCAGAATGCCTTAACATCAATCCCAGCAATCTCTCCTACAGGAACAGTTCTGCAGGGAAATTTGGAGAGTGGTCATGCTCAGAAAATGTGGAGCCCTCTAGCAGACTATGAGCAATTTTGTAAATAAGTCACAGTAGCTAGATAACTACCGTGGAATGGGGTTTTTTTCTGTTGATTTAGCAAAGAAGGGATGCAGAAAGTTTGTGAAGTAAAGCTTTGATATAAAAGGTAACAAAGAACTGTAAAAGAAATAAAACTGACTGTCCAAATCAATACTGCCTCAATGCATTTATCACTAGATTGGCACCCATAGAATGCTGTAATCAGTACTAGCTTCAGGGAGTAGAGAAGCAAAGGAAATTTTATTGGGTCTTTCACACCATGGCCATTTACTTTATTTAGGGCATCCTCTATATCTGTAAGAGTTGAAAGATAGAAGCAGCATGTTTTTTTGAAATTTTTTGTTTTCTTCCGAATTACATGTAAAAACAATTTTTAGTCTTTTTTATAATTTTGAGTTCCAAATCTTCTCCCTCCCTTCCTCCTTTTTTCTCTCTCTGTTACAGCAAGCAATTAGATCTAGATTATACAGATGTAATCATGCAAAACGTATTTCCATATTAGCCATGTTGAAAAAGAAAAAACAAAGGAAAGAAAGAAAGATTTTTTTTTTAAAGTATGTTTTGATCTGCATTCAGACTACATCAGTTTTTTCCTCTGGAGGTGGATAGTATTTTCCATCATAAGTCCATTGGAAATGTCATGGATCATTGTATTGCTCAGAATACCTAAGTTATTCATAGTTTATCATCATATAATATAAGCAGCATCTTTTTTTTAAAGATCGCAACCCTTACTATTATATTTTTATTGGCTGGTGCTCTAATAGGAATCACACTGCACCAAGGGCAGAATACTGGTGTTCTAATCCTAGGTTTGCCACTAGCTAGCTGACTTACTTTTGACAAGTCTCAGTTCTCCATGCCTCAGTTTTCTCATATCTAAATGGCAATAATGATATTTGTCCTACCTACCTCATAGTTTTTAATAAGGATATAAAGGATATGGGCAGCTAGATGGTACGGTGGATAAAGATCTGGGCTAGAATCAGGAAGACTCTGAGTTCAAATCTAGCCTCAGAGACTTCCTAGCTGTGTGACCCTAGGCAAGTCACTTAACCCTGTTTGCCTTAGTTTCTTCATCTATAAAATGAGCTGGAGATGGAAATGGCAAACTATTCTTGTACCCCTACCAAGAAAACCCCAAATGGGGTCACAAAGAGTCAGACACAACTGAAATGACACAACAACATAAAGGATATAAAAATGCTTCGCCAAGTACAAAACATTAAACATAACTATCACAGGATTTAGAGCTAGAAGAGACCACAGGGGTCATCTAGTCTAAATCCCTCCTTTTAAAGATGAGGAAACTGAGTCTTATAGTGGCAAAGTCATTTTTTGCTCAAGGCCACATTTAGTAAATAGAGTTGGTATTCAAAGCCAGGTCCTCTGGCTACAAATTTATTATATTATGTTATATCCCCAACCTGTGGATTGAGGAAGGATAATGTGTATAACAACACTTAATAAATTATTGCTGTAGTTTTTGTTATTTTTTTCTTCCCTCATCCTTTCCCTTCTTACTCTTATTGACCTGCTCCTCTCTAATCCTCAGAAAAATTTCTGAGAAGACAATATTTTTCCGATAAGGAAATGCTGTCTAGTTGTGCTGAAAAACTATTCCATTTTGTTTCAATATAGTCTAAAATGTTCAGTAGGGGAAAAGGCAAAACCACATTAAGATTATTAGAGAGAGCTGGGAATTGTCAGACTCCTTATGATAATCAGTCAAAACAGGCAAAGTGCCTTATATACAATGGAAGAGTTCCACAGTAGAGGAGACTAGTAACATGGCATATTAGGAAAACAGATAATCATGGGGGAAATACAGAATGTGGAAATGAGGCATGTGACTCCATGACTGTATCTCTATTTTTTACTAGTCAAAGTGAAAGGGCGTAAAGGGTCTTGGAACAGAAACCACAGGAAGAAGAAAGAAATCTCTTAGCAAATAAGGACCTTTTTTAGGTCACTGGAACACAGTCAAATATATGGTTCTTTAAAGGCAATAGAGGTTTTTAGGGCTAACAATAAAAACAATTAATGATAATATCAGGAGAAAGAGTTGCAAGGGCTTGCATTGTCAAAATGGCGTGTTCAAAAAATCAAATTGGAGCAGAGCTTGAAGCCGTCAGAGGCTTTGTACTTCCAGTTGACTGGAAGCTGTTTTCCACTTAGCTCCAAAAAAAGAACAGCAGTAATTGATAACAGTTGTTTAGGGAATAGAGTATTTAACGTATACTTAGGGACTCATACATATTTCCTTAAACCAAACCCTAAATCATATATTTCTATGGTGAATAGAAATTGGTGATGACTTTTGTCATTGATTTGTTTCAGTTTTGTCTGAATTTTCATGACCCCATTTGGGGTTTTCTTGGCAAAGTTATTAAAGTGGTTTGCCATTTCCTTCTCTAGCTCATTTTACAGATGAGGAAACTGAGGTAAACAGAGTTATTTGACTTGCCCAGGGTCACACAGCTAGGAAGTATCTGAGGCAGATTTGAACTCATGAAAAAGAGTTTTCCCAACTGCTGGCCCAGTGCTCTCTCCACCACACCATCTTAATATCAATGAAAAGTTGGGTTTTGAGAGATTGAAAAGGATGCCTAATGAAGTAAACAGAACCACAGGAACAAAATACATCATGAGTACAACAAAATAAATTAAAAGA